ATGTCTACAGTAGAATATTGGAGAACATGAATTACAGGGAAAAGGAAGATCGAGATTTCTGATGCTACTTAGATCTCATTTTAAAATGTCTTCACAGTATAGGACGCTGTTTGGTTGGTTCTGCACATCTTAAAATATATCTACGTTGACCTGTTGTGATCCAAACTATTCTTCTGATGCCAGCTAAAATAGGCTAATGCAAAAATGGGCTATATCCTTCAGCCATGGATGCTATAGACATTTTCAAAAGGTTCAAAACTTCAACCCAGTTGTTTGCAAATAAGGATTTGGCAAAATAATAATAATAATAATAATCCTTGCATTTGATATAGCTCTTTTCACGTCGGGAGGACGTCCCAAAGCGCTTCACAGAATAGACTGTAAAGTGAATTGACTGTATATTTGTGGGCGAACGCGGCAGCCAATTGCGCACAGCAATGTCCCACAAACAGTCGTAGATTGAAAATGACCAATTTATTATTGTTTTGGATTTTGGAGGGATTATTATTAGGCGTGTGGAGTAAGGAAACTTGCCCAAGGTTTCGCCCTGTCTGGAATTGAACTCAGGTCTCTCGCTTGCAAAGCGAGTGCTCTAACCACTGAGCTACAGGACTCCATATGAGTAAGGGGCTTGCAGTAAATAGTCCAGGCTAGATTCATCTCTGCCAACAGTCACCGGCTTATAAGTTGCTTCTTTTTCTTTATTTTGAATGTTACAAATAAGAGTTTTATTAAGCATACTGTACTTCACTATATCTGTGTCCTTTATTATACACATGGTGACAGTTTACAAAACCATAATTAGTGAAAAATAGCAGTTTCAAAAAAAATCAAATAAGATGATAAAAAAACTCAATTGCATACAATGGAAAGAAAATCAATCTTGCACAGTTTACCATCTCAATTTATCAGTGTTGCCAAGGCTCCATGACATTTGCAGACAGTCTATCAATTCCAGCACACAACTGCTTACTTTGATTTAGAGTCCTAGCAAACAGTCTCTTGACAAGAGTTACCTACACCCTGTAGGTCAGACTCATCATAACAGAATTGAACCAAAGCTGTACACATTTGACTAGGTTGCATGTGAGGACACATGTGCATCTATATGAATATATTCTCCAATGAGTTTAATAGGGACTTCTTCACGCAGAGGGTGGTGAGCGTGTGGAACTCACTGCCAGAAGCTGTGGTTGGAGGAGAAAGCATCAATGTAAGAGAACAGCTGATGCATACACAGGGGAGAAGGGAATAGAGGGGTATGGATGTGGGGAATTGGAGGGGTGGGAACTTGTGTGGAGTATAAATACTGTAATAAACTAGTTGGGCTGAACAGCCCATTTCCGGAAATATATATATGTGTGTGTGTCTTTACAGTATATTTGTGTGTATTGGTAGCAGAAGGGATGAGAAAGATGCATAACTGTACAAGAAACATTGCTATCCCTTGCTAAGAAACTGGACAAAGTTGATTGTAAATCTACTGAGGATAGATACAAACTTCCAAAGATGAAGAGCAACTGTCATAAGAATTGCTGAGACTGTGAGCTTCTCAGTGCCTCTTTGGAACAATGGTCGACATTCAAAGGACATTGCCAAACACTGTTGTCTGCAAATGCCTTGTGAGATAGTTTGCAGTACAAGGGTGTGGGTGTACTGCAACTGCTGAATTCCTCAGTCAACCTGAGATATTCAGGACAAACACTGAACTAATGTGGCATTGTCATTACCAAAAAAACAGTTTTGTTGAATTTACAAGCACAGAGTCAGATACTATTAATTGTGTAGAAACACGTCAATACATCACTTCCACTCAACGTCATTTGTAATGAAAATCAGAGTGACCCACATCTCCACACCTCCCTCCCTCCCCCACCAATAGACCATTTGCCAAATCATTTTGTCAAGAAAAACATTCTGCTTTTGGTACACACATCTGGTGAACGTGTTAAAACATTTAAAATTAAATACAATGCAAGAACACAGCTTACTTTTTAGTGGGGGGAATGAATTAATCACAAGTACTATAGAAATTTCTATTATATCGCAAGTATGTACAAATATTAATATCTTATGATTTCAAAAAAACTACAAAAAACTTTTTTAAAGTTTGAATTAAAAATATTAGTCATTGAACTTTATGTATGTAATAAGTACCACATTTCCTTAAGTTGTATTATTAAAATTAACAGCAGTTATACAGATCATGTGGCATAACTGGTTGGCATAGTTGGTAAGTAAGTGGAATGTGGATAGTTGGTACCATTTCAGTACCAAAGCACAGTCTGTCGGAGTCCCCTTCTACAGTCATTCCTAAATACTGACGTGTCAAATGCACATCTTCCAAAGATTTTAGAATAATCACTCTTACTGGTTCCCAACAAATTTCCAAAGTGTTTTCCATTTGCTGCTCTGCAAGAAAATGGAACACCCCTCACCAGTATTGAAAGGATTCCGTTTAAAGCATCGATAAACATAGCCGTTGTCTGGGCACTTCACTAAAAGATCCAGAGGCACATTCAACAGTTAGAATGCTCAGTTAATAACAGGTGAGCCTTTTTGCCTTTTAGAGAGAAAGAGAATTGAAAATTGGCACAGAACATTTTATAATGGGCAAGAGTTTGGGGGTGTTGGCAAAGACAGACACATTAAAGCAGTTTAAAATTGTATTTATGGCACCAACATAGAGACTTGTATTCTTTTTCTGTGGGCCCATTTGTGCATTTTAGCCAGAGTCAAACGATTCATAGCAGGAAGTTTTCTTCGTTTATCTCCTGAATCTGTAAAACTGATGCTATGGAAGCTGGCTGTTGATAGTACTCTCTTTTTGGAAATTATTTGGTTAGGATGTTGGTTCAGACCTCTACTGGAAGATAGAGTTATTTCAGGGTCTTATGCTAGAGGAGCCTTTAAATAAATAGCTGTGCCACAACCTTCAGCTCTTTGTGGCTCGGTGGATTGGTACTGCTGAAGCAATAATCAGTCACTAGCCATCTGGAACTCTTTTCTGAAATCCCTCTGCCTCGACCCCCCTCAATTCTCCACTTTCAAAAACAATATATAGACCCATCTCTCTGACCGCACCTTCAGTCACATTCCCCTAACTCCTTATCCCATTCCTAGCTCAGGCTCCCACTTAATCGTTATGAAACCAAACTGAAAGGTGCTACATAAACATAAATAAATTGTTGTTGTAACCAAACTGGTAGGCCTCTTCCCATTAATCATTCAAGAGGCATTTTCCATGCCCACACCCAACCTATAACATAACGTGTGCTCCCTGTCCACAAGTAAAACATCAATAATGGATTTCTCAATAAGGTATGATCATACAGGAATCCAACAGAGAAGAGTAATGATCTCATCCTCTGGCAAATATTGTATTGACCGTAATGTTGCTACTTTGACATGATGCAAAGTGAGTAGAAACCCACTGCAGGACTCGAATGATTAAAAGGGAAGCCGCTTTAAAAATCAGCATAACCTTCCAGTGTATATTTGTCAAATGTTGACAAATCTACATGATTTTTTTAACCCATTAAAAAAAGATTAAGTGCTGTGATGGGAGGATGGCAGAGTGGGTGTTTTGGAAAGATATTTTTGAGATACTATATATAAATATGTCAAAGGATACATATATATATTATATATATATATTCATCCAAGCTTATCTTTTATAATCTTGTGTTTACTCTCCAGGGGATATAACTAGTATTATATCACAACATTGCAGGTGGGCAATTTAAGATGTAATCCTTAGGTTTAAACACCAATGGGTCAAAGAATACATCTTCTCTGGAAAATAAGACCTAAACGATGTTTACTGAAGGAAGGAATAATGCTCTATTTGGCTAGTTAGGGGTTAGAAAGCTGTTTGAGGCTGCACTGTGAGGTAGCTTCAATTTCAATAGAGTTTTCTGCTTTTTGGCACTTTTACAGAAATGTATTTCTTCCATAGATTCATTAACTATTCTCATTTCTAAGCAATGTATATAGCTATTGTTTCGTCATAAATGAAACAATTGCTTAGGGTTACACGAATGTTGAATATAATAACTGATACTGATGACTGAGACTTTAGCATTAAAAACATGCTCTCCACATCTGAGGAATGCTGTAACAGTCAAAAATTTGTGACACTGCAATGTTTTCGGAGAGATTGAACTTCAAGATCTTAGTCAAGTTTGAGTAGCGTGAGGTAAGGATGGTGCAGAAAGCAAGAGCTGCAGTCACAAACCAGAAGACACCCTGCACACAGAACAGAAAGTATGAAAGAAGGTACCATATTTCTAATAGCAGCAACAGGGAGGCACTGGTACATGCAAGCGGAAGAAAAGGTATATGCAAGAGGAAGAAAAGGAGCTTGTGCTTCTCTTACAGCACAGTAACAGGGGAACATCATACGACTTTCATTAGGCTAAGCAGAGACGTCGGGTTAGATGAGTTCGCTCCAGTATAAAAGATAGCACCCGTTTAGGCTCAATGGGCAGAAAGATGTTCTTCTATGCTGTTGTTTCTATGATTCTACAATTCATACAACCCCTCAAAAACTGCTGCAACAGGATAGAAAATCCCTGCGCAGCAATGTAGATAGGCAGAATTAAAAGCTCTTCTGAAATATGAATCAGCTTGCCTCACTTGGTAGCACTCTAGTCTCTGAGTGTCAGAGACACTCTAGTCTCTGAGTCAGGAGGTTGTGGCTGGAACTTTGAACTTGCAAAGTCTAGGCTGACACTCCAGTGCAGTACTGGGGATGCGTGGCATTGTTGGAAGCGCCATCTTTTGGATGAGACATTAAACCGAGGTCTTGTCTGGCGCTTCAAGTGGATGTTAAAGATCCTATGGCCCCTATCAAAAAGAAAAGAGTTTCTCACTTCCCCAGATAAAATTGATCATTCACTTCACAGCTGTGCACAAATTGGCTGCTGGGTTGTGTGTAAAAAATAGTCACTGCACTTTACAGTATATCCTGTGAAGAGCTTCGAAACATCCCCCCAATGTGAAAGACCAATATCAAACATAAGGACTATTAAGGATTATTCTCATTATTATATGCTTACACTCTGTCCTATTTGCATGATACCAAGTACAAGAACCTTTTCCTCTGAAATGCCAAGTGTGTGATTTACAAAACAAATGCTGACAATTCCTGTCCCGGGATTACTAAACGTTTTACTAAACAATTAATCTTCAGATTTATCTGATTTATCTGCATTTTGTCTTTGTTGCAATTCACTGATACTTTCGTAATCATTCTCTCCCTGTACACGCCCTGTGGATTGCTCTTCAGCAGGTTTGTCCTGCTCTGGCATATCAGCCTTCAGTTTGCCAACTGCTTCATATCCGGGATCAGTCTCCTCCTTCATCACATCTACAGCTTCATTCCGATCTGCAGCACCGGATTCTCTCTCAAAATCAGCCACAGACGCATAGAGGTCACTTGACGTCGACGTAGGTCTTCGAGATCTCATCTCATCAATGCTGGCATAGCCACCTTCTTGATCCCCGTCAGCCTGGTTCCATGACTGCACTGGCTTACTCACCGTGGAGTACATGGCTGCAATCTAAGAGGAATATAAATAATCATGGTAAGACTTCCAGCTGGATTGTATTACTGTCACAAACATACACTGAGAAAATGCTAATGTTAACTGTAACCAATGAATGTATATTGTAGGAGAAAATTAATTATGTCGCTTTACAAAAGTAGAATTATAAATTGGTTTTCCTTCTTCAGTTCAGGTGCCAGGAAGTACATAGATGTTCATCCCGATTTGCTTCTTTCCTAATCATCAGAGGGCAAAAATGTCATATTGATGTCCCTCTCGCTGATCAGGCAAATATAAAAGTTCATCAAAGCTTCAGAATACACATTACCACATGGTATGCATGGAGACATTAAAATATTTGTGTATCATGACAGCACAGAAATATCAGACATCATACTAAAGGTCCATGTAGCCTTAGCCTGTTTTGCCTTAAAATTTGAGATCACACAGAATTATAAAAAATTCTTAAATTGAATTTTAATTGGGAAACGTTTTTTCTGCAGTTCTCCACCTTAAGACTTTCAACTCTCCATCTAAGATGATACTCCACTGCAGTGCGAGGGTGTGTTTCATTGTTGGAGGCGCTGTACTTTGGATGTGATGTTAAACCGAGGCTCCCATCTCCATTTTCAGATGGATGTTAAAGATCCCATGGCACTATTTGAAAAGAGAATGGAGTTTCTCCCAGTATCCTGGCTAACAACCCCTCAAAATAAAGTTGATTATTCCCTTCATGGCTGTCTGTGGGACACTGTTGTACATAAATTGCTGTACATAAATTTTCAGGCGTTCGCCTAAAAAGTAGTCTCTACACTTTACAGTTTACCGTGTAAAACACTGTGATATGTTCTCCAACAAGAAAGGCACAATATCATTGTAAGGATTATAATTATTACTTCCCTAAGTAACATTTTTCCAGAGGGATTCAATTGAATATCTAGAATTTGAAAATCTAGTGTTCATAGAATCAGTACTCGAAAGCTCAAAGGAGTTTGATAATAATAATCCTTGCATTTGATATAGCACCTTTTCATGTCTTCTAGACATCTCAAAGCACTTCACAGAATATACTGTGAAAGTGAATTGACTGTTTATATTTTGTGGGCAAAATGCGGCAGCCTATTGCGCACAGCAGTGTCCCACAAACAATCCTGGATTGAAGTGACCAATTCATTTTTTTTTGAAGGAATTATGCCTAATAAGCTGGAAAGTACAGTTGGTACAGTTATGTCATAAGCAGTTAACTTCTGGCACATCTATCTCTCTGTACAACACTGATGGGGAGAAATCCCACCTGGGTCCAGATTTACTCAATTTATGCAGCATTTCAAATCATCTCGAATTTGGAAAATTGTTGAATTCAGTCTCAACTCTGGAGCTGGTTATCTGCAGTTCTTGAACGAATCTTACAGTGAACCGGCTTCCAAAATTCAGGCTATATTTGAGAAATTGCCAAATTCCTAACGACCTGAAATGTATCACAAATGGAAGAAGCGCAGACCTGGGAGGAATTTCTATCCTTGTGTATATCTACCTTTTCTCCATATATCCAATAACACAAATACAAATACAATTTACACTTATACAATGCCTTTCCTGTCAGCAGGATGTCCCAAAGTGCTTGACAATACTTCCCTTTTAAAATCTCCCACCGAGTCTAGATTGACAACCCTTTGAGGGAGTGAATTCCACAATCCCACAACACTGTTGCAATCTATTATTAATTTTTTGGCTTTATGGAGCACATAGTTTAAGATGTGAGCAGAATGCCGACTTGTACACCACGTGACGCATGATAGAATTCAGGGAGCCAAAAAAAAGTACAAGATCCAGAAATAATCCCAGACAAACAAATATTCAGTCTACAAGTGCAATAGATTTTGAAACGCACCAATGTTTCCAGTATATGTACGCACATTTCCTCCCGCCTTGACGACTGTTGAGATGAAATCAGACACCTGGGTCTTCAGCAGTATTTGCATATACTTTACTCCTCACCTCATCCCCAGTGGGCCTGAAAACTACAGTGAGGTGTTGATTGCAGTCTGCAAGCGTGAACAAAGTGATGACTCTGTATTGGTTTTCTGGGCTTATTCGCACAATACTGCCCCAATTCAGGCTGAGTTAGGCCAGGATGCCCTGAATAAGACTGGAAAGATTGGCTTTCCTGTGCTCGAAAATAATCACCCCTATTCAGAATTCCAACCTAGAGGCAGGCAGGCTCCCATAGCTGATCAGCTGGTTTGGGCACTGTCATTATTCAGATGCCAGGAAGGGAGGCAGGGAGGGAGGGTGGTATTTCAAAGCCACAATCCTTAAATGAGGAATGGATTGTGTTTAGGAATAGTTTTGATCCCTTAGAATGTCACAGCAAAAACAAAAGCCAGTCACCCCAATAAGTTTACGCTGCTGTTTTTCTTCCACACGAATTCCACTCTCTTGCTCAAGATCCATATAATAATAACACTTGCATTTGATATAGCGCTTTTTACGTCGGGAGGATGTCCCAAAGCGCTTCACAGAACACACTGTGAAACGAATTGACTGTATATTTGTGGGCAAACGCGGCAGCCAATTGCGTACAGCAACGTCCCACAAACAGTCATGGATTGAAAATGACCAATTTATTATTGTTTTTGGTTTTTGGAGGGATTATTATTAGGCTCTGTGTGGAGTAAGGAAACTTGCCCAAGGTTTGGGCCCTGCCTGGAATTGAACTCGGGTCTCTCACTTGCAAAGCGAGTGCTCTAACCACTGAGCTACAGGACTCCACAATATCCCTCAATATTCTTTAGTATCTATCTAATTCCCTCTTAAAAGACTTGATGGACTCAACTCAACAAAGGCTCGCTCTGCTTCAATAATAATAATCGTTGCATTTGATATAGAGCCTAATCATGTCTTTGAGACATCTTAAAACGCTTCACAGAATATACTGTAAAGTTGATTGACTGTGTACTTTTGTGGGCGATACTCGGCAGCCAGTTGCGCTCAGCCGTGTCCCACAAACAGTCGTGGATTGAAAACTTAACCTGATCTGAACAGGCTGTACAAGTTAACAACCTATTGTACTGTATATTACATGGAGAATAACTCCATAATCCAATGGAAGTAAAAAGCAAAACCTTCTAACACAACAACAACTTGTATTCATATAGTGCCCCTCACACAGGGTGGCATCCAGAACATCTGACAGCGGTGGAGCATGACGCCGAGCCGGTGGGGGAGGTGACCCGTCAAAGAGTTAGGTCTCGAGGTGAATTTAGGCACAAGGCGGAGGGATAGAGGAAGAGTGTTCCAGAGTTTCGGGGCGTAGTGGCTGAAATCGCAGCCACCGATGGTGGAACAGAGGGCACAAGAGACATGCAGGAGGTTGAAGCCAGTCGAGTGGAGGCAGTGGGTTGGGGAGTAAGCAGATCAGAGAGATAAGGAGGTGCCAGGGCATGAACGGATTTGAAAATGAGTGTGAGGATCTTGAAATTGATCAGTTCGGCGATAGGAAGCAAGTGGAGTCTGGCTAGAATTGGTTTGATGGGGGCATGGAGTTTGTTACAGGATAGCCTTCTGACATTCAGAAAAGCTGTAATCTTCAGCAATATTACAACGAGAAGCAATGTCGTTCTGAGAACCTGCAAATATCTTCTCCTCATGATACATTTTAGCAACACGTTTCAAGTTGCATTAAAATAGTTTATATTATAGGTTAATTACAAGGACAGTCATATAACCCATTCTGAGTTCTCAAGCTTGTCATACAGTTAAAGCATCATTTGCTCCCCTTGTTGAATTGTGGCTTTATAACTCACTTTCAGTTATCTGTTATTCCACAATTCCTGTATAATCTGATTCCTTATGCAGTATTATATTTCATAACCATTTTCAAAAGATAACAAAATCTACACTCACCCCTAAGTGCAGACAAAAAGGTTATTTTGCTGCCATTAAATACATTTAAACAGCAAATCTGTAATTAATTCCCTTTTAAACTCAAGACTCACCGAATCAGTGCGCAACCTAAGCGTCTGGTTCATAACATAACATAACATGTAGGAGCAGGAGTAGGCCATTCGGCCCTTCGAGCCTGCCCCGCCATTCAATCATGGCTGATCTTCTAATCTAACTCCAGCTAATAACCTAACCCTGCCTTATCCTCTATCCCTTAATCCCTTTTGTAATAAGAAATCTATCTATCTCAGTCTTGAATATGTTCAAGGACTGAGCGTCAACAGCCCTTTGGGGTAGTGAGTTCCATACATTCACCACCCTTTGAGTGAAGAAGTTCTTCCTCAACTCAATGCGAAAGGGCTGGCCTCTGATTTTAAGGTTGTGACCCCTGGTTTTAGTTTCTCCAACCAGGGGAATCAATCTCTCACTATCTACTCTGTGGAGTCCTGTAGCTCAGTGGTTAGAGCACTCGCTTTGCAAGTGAGAGACCTGAGTTCAATTCCAGGCAGAGGGCGAAACCTTGGGCAAGTTTCCTTACTCCACACGCCTAATAATAATCCCTCCAAAACCAAAAACAATAATAAATTGGTCATTTTCAATCTACGACTGTTTGTGGGACATTGCTGTGCGCAATTGGCTGCCGCGTTCGCCCACAAATATACAGTCAATTCACTTTACAGTGTGTTCTGTGAAGCGCTTTGGGACGTCCTCCTGACATGAAAAGCGCTATATCAAATGCAAGGTTTATTATTATTATTATTATTATGCCCCAAAACTCTGGAGCACTCTCCCTCAATCCCCTCACATTGCCCCCTCTCTCCCCTCTTCCAAGTTCCACATGAAAACTTTCCTCTTTAACCGTGCTTGCGGCTACCTCCCCACTCCCCCCGGCTTGGAGTCAGGCTCCACCACGGTTAAGCGCTCTGAAACGCTATCTTGTGTGGAGGGCGCTATTTAAGTGCAAGATGTTGTTTTAAAAGAATTGATGACCTTGCGTGTGTATCGTATGCATTGGAGGATTGTGGTTTGATCAAGAAGAAACGGGCTGGTTTGTGTTCTTGTGAGGAATG